AAATATTTGCATTTTGAAGTGTCAGCCCATAGTAGGCTCTCAATATATATCTGTAAAATTGGAGGAGCGAGCCTCGTGTGCTAGGCCCAGGGCTATTAATAGGAGACACAGAAATAAATGAAAAAGGTCCTTGTGTTTTAGTTGTTCACAGTCATACGCACAGGTGATGACTGGACACTGTCTAGGCTCTGCCCCACAGGCATGTACAGGGGCTGTGAGATCACAGAGGGGAGGAAGTCAAGAAAGAGAGACAGTTGAGCTGAATCTGTACAGAGGTTTGCCAGATGTGCAGGAAAGGCCATTCAAAGCAGCAGAAGTCAGATGAAGGTCCACGAATTACCCTCTGTAACTCGAAATAGACACTGGATGCTTATAGGCAAGAACAGCACCCCTGGAGCTGGCAGGATAATTGACCACTTGATAGCAAAATGGGTAGATCCTGTGCCCACTTGCTACAGATGGATGTGTCTGACCATTGGATTGCCTACCAAGGGTCAGCCACTTACGTGGTTTTTTTTAAATTTATTTTTTATACAGCAGGTTCTGATTAGTTATCTATTTTATACATATTAGTGTATATATGTCAATCCCAATCTCCCAGTTCATCCCACCATCACCACCCCCCCACCCAGCTTCCTGCCTTGGTGTCCATACATTTGTTCTCTACATCTGTGTCTCTATTTCTGCCTTGCAAACCAGTTCATCTGTACCATTTTTCTAGATTCCACATATACGCGTTAATATACAATATTTGTTTTTCTCTTTCTGACTTACTTCACTCTGTATGACAGACTCTAGGTCCATCCACCTCACTACAAATGACCCAATTTCATTCCATTTTATGGCTGAGAAATATTCCACTGTATATATGTGCGACATCTTCTTTATCCATTCGTCTGTCAATGGGCATTTAGGTTGCTTCCATGACCTGGCTATTGTAAATAGAGCTGCAAGGAACATTGGGGTGCATGTGTCTTTTTGAATTACGGTTTTCTCAGGGTATATGCCCAGTAGTGGGATTGCTGGGTCTTATGGTAGTTCTATTTTTAGTTTTTTAAGGAACCTCCATACTGTTCTCCATAGTGGCTGTATCAATTTACATTCCCACCAACAGTGCAAGAGGGTTCCCTTTTCTCCACACCCTCTCCAGCATTTGTTGTTTGTAGCTACCTACATGTTGAATTCAGATGTACCTAAGAGACACCGTAGGAGGGCTTAGCAGAGGATGCCAGAGGCAGGGCTGACACATAACAGTACAAGGAAAGTAAAGAAATTGCTGGAGAGGAGTGCAGATAAACAAGACAAGACACAGGGTCCATTTAGCCTACATCCTCTGCCTGCTAATGGCACTGATGAGCATTTGGTGGGAAGAAGTATGTTCTCTCCATCAGCTTTTTATGCCAGGAATGGACCTAATCCGTCTCCTCCCTCCAACTTTCCATTGACAAGTACTCTTTGGCTTCAGCTACATCTTGCCACTGTCCCTACTGTCATCAAGCAAAACACAGACGACCATCTGGCAGTGGGTATCTGCATGGTGTGTGAAATTTTCCCAGAATAACGGTTTGAATTATTTTGTAAAGCAGCAGAACTTTCTTCGCATATTAAATTTTACTTAGAAGAACAATATGAAAACAGCTGTAGTCAAACATCGACAAGTACCACACCATAAATATTTATCAGGCACTTGTAATGGCCCAAGTGCTGTGCCGTGCACTTGCTATGCATCCCCTCATTTCATCTTTATCACGATCCTATGATGTGGTGCTTATAAGGTAGGGTTGTTTTTATCCTCTTTTTAGAAATGAGGTAGCTGGGAATGAAGAGTAACAGCTAACATGTGGCAAAGCTAGAGTCTGATCCAGGCAGTTTGTCCTCGATGTGGCGTCCTTCTGGTGCAGGAAGTCCTGTCCCAGTGGCCTGGCTGTGACGGGACTGGTGTGGCAGAGCTGAGCCATCCGGGAATCCAACCGCTGTCCCTTTCTTCTGCGGTAGCAGGTGTAGCTAATCCCTGTATCCTCCTTCCCCCAGCTCAGGAATTTGGTAATTTACCAGGTTGCTGTGTAATGTGGTCTAAGAAATACTGCTTTGGTTTGTCCTCCAAGATTTCTCTACAGAGTCCATAATCTGCCACATCGACTCAATATGAGAGGGATCCTGCGGCCAAATAAGTCTTCAAATGTGGAAGTAAATGCCTATCACACACACACACAAAAGTAGTGTATGACTCCATTTATATGAAATGTCCGGAAGAGGCAAATCTATAGAGACAGAAAGTAGATTAGTGGTTATCTAGGGCTGGGGGGCTGAGCAGTCATGGGGAGTGATAATTAAGGGGTACAATGTTTCTTCCTGGAGTGATGAAAACGTTCTAGAATTGATTGTGGTGATAGTTAACCCTGTGAATATCCTAAAAACCATGACTTGTACCATTTAAATTGAGGAATTTTATGTTACATGATTTACAGCTCAATTAGGCTGTTAAAAATCCCCAAACAAACAAAAAAAAACATAGAGCATCTCTTTAAAAACTTGTTTAATGTGGTAATCCATTAATTTATCTCTGGTTGGGCGGTCTGCAAGACATGGGGGTACAAGGAGGAAGGATCACCGGGTCAAAACCAATCATGACACAGCTGCTGGCGGCAGCACAACGGCTCTAACGGGGACACGTGCAAAGAGAAAGGTGAGCCCTTTGGGGACACTGGGAAAGATCTGGCAGAGGAGTTGGTATGGAGCCCCAATCCAGATTTTACCGGGAAGTCCAGAGGCAAGGAAACTCCTTAGACAGCTGAGATGCTCTATGGGTGCTCTTGGTAGAGCTGATATCACGTGAAAGCTTGGAGCAAGGACAGTGCAGGACTTGTTTTGCGGTTTGCATGCCTGGATAACATGATGAATGGGAGGACTCAGGGGAAGAGGATTGAAGGATAAGCTGGAGCGAAGTGACCCCATCCCTTGAATCATTCATTCATCCCTTCATTTCCTTCTCAAGCATCACCCACGTGTCAGGCAGAGGTTAGGTCAGTGGTCTCAAGCTTGGCTTTACGATTGCCTGGAAAGCTTACCAAAACTGGTACCAAGGTCTCATCCCAGAGGGTGCTCTGGGCATCAGGATTTTTCAAAACTCCTCAGGGAATTCTAATTGTAGTCAATGTTGAAAACCAGTAGGATGTCTGATGGAGATAAAAAATTAAAAAAAGATTAAGGCGAAGATGGTGTGGCACCTGGGGGTTTAATCAACAAATGTTTTCTGAGAGCCTATTAAGTACACCCCGGGCACTGGGGATACAGCAGTGACTAAAAGATGGGTCCAAGCCCTCATGAAGGTTCAGACTAGTGGAAGCAGCAGGAAATAGGCAAGTAAGGGAACAAGGGAATCTCTCATTACAACATGGGATAAATGATGTGATGGACATAAAGAAGGCTAACAGGTAGCTGATGATGAGGGAGAGGATGGTTCCCTATATTGGCTGTCAGGGAAGGTCTCTTTGAGGAGGTGACTTTAAGCCTGGTTCTAAAGGAAGGAACTGACCTTGGAAGATCCACAGGAAGTATGTTCTAGACAGTGGATACATGTGGTGTGTGTGTGTGTTGTTATTGTTGTTAAAACGAACAGGCATGTATTCAGACCGTATTAGGAAAAACGGAGTACATTGTATGAGAGACAGTTGAATATGTTTAGCGACTGTGATTTTTTTTTTTTTGCGGTACGCGGGCCTCTCACTGCCGCAGCCTCTCCCGTTGCGGAGCACAGGCTCTGGACGCACAGGCTCAGCAGTCATGGCTCATGGGCCCAGCCGCTCTGTGGCATGTGGGACCCTCCCGGACCGAGACACGAACCCGTGTCCCCTGCATTGGCAGGCGGACTCTCAACCACTGCGCCACCAGGGAAGCCCCTGTGATATTTTATTTATTCTTGTATTCCTAGAATCAAAGATGCTGACTGTCATGTGATTTATACATGCAATGTATAAATGTCTGATGAATAAATGAACTAGTGAAATCAGTAAAGAAGAAACTGAAGGATAGAGGGATGGCTGATGAAAGAATGTTCCAGAAGACATGGGAAGAGAGGGATTCCATAGCATACAGAAGGAGGGCCACTTCGAAAGTGGGAGGCAAGGTGTGGAGACTGGAAATAAGTTTTCTGGTGCAAGGACAGGAAGCAGAGTTCCCTCCTGATAGTGCTTGTGCCCTTTGCTGGGGGAGAGGAGGTCGTTTGCTGAAAGTCAGCTGGGAGTGGGGTCCGGGTTCTCCAGGGGTGGGAAGAGTGACTTTGTGGAAGTGAAGTGGTGGGCTGACCAGGGACACTCATAAGGAATACAGTGGTGCTGGACCCGGCACCTAGGCTGCAGAGCACACACAGGTGGTGGTGCCAGTGGACACCGTATGTGATGCTGTGTAGCTCTAGCAGACCGTTACATCGTGGCTGAGGGTTTGCAGATGGTATATGGCAGTGGTTGGACCAGGAAATGAACAAACTGAGGTGGAAGGAGAGTAAGATCGAAACCGACATTAAAGTCTAGGCTGGGACATAAAGGAAGGAAGTAGTGTCGAGAAGGAGGAACAAAGTGGAAAGAATAAAGGACAAACTCTAATGAGTCAAAAGCCAAAAACGTATAATGGGGAGAAGGGAGTGAGCTGGAAGGAAGGGAGTTCCTATTCCATGGTAGCTGCTGTACACATTAAAGCATCAATACTTTAAAAGACAACAGTAGCTACCTGTTGCTGAGCACGACTGTATGTCAGAAGAAAGGCAAGGGGTTTTACCTACATAATTTCATTTAATTCTCATAGCATGTACCATAATCCCCATTTCACTGCTGAGAAAACTGAGGCTTACTGAGGTTAAATATATTGCTCGCATTTTTTTTTTTTTCGGCCATGGCTCACGGGCTCAGCCACTCCCGCGGCATGTGGGATCTTCCCGGATCAGGGCACGAACCCGTGTCCCCTACATCGGCAGGCGGACTCTCAACCACTGCGCCACCAGGGAAGCCCGCTCGCATTTTTGTAGCTAGGAAGAAGAAGAAACTGCATCTGTCTGATGAAGCCAATGCCCATAACCACCAAGCCAGGTTGATATATATATTCTTCTTGTTGTAGAACAGCATAGGACTCCTGCATCCTTTTCTTATGAGCTGGTAACCCGGAGCCAGTTATATTAACCCATTGGGCTCCGCAGGATGAAGTCCAAATTCCCTCAGGTGACACAGGAGGCTGGTCAGAGTCCAAACCCACACCCTCCTCTCTAGACACAGCCTCCCACACCCTCCGCTCTTGTCTGCAGGAACTATTTTCAGTTTGCCAAAGGCATCAGGACAGCTTTTGGACATGATGTTGTATGAGTCAGTGATGTGCTTCTTCCTCTTCTCCTCCTGGCTGACTCCTTCCAGTCCTGCCAGGCTGAGTGTGAGTATCACGAAAAAATGAGGGTGATGCCATTGGCCAGACCAGACATCTCTGGAGCATCTCCGCAGACCCCCATCACAGCTCTCCTCTTCACACTAAAATCAGGGAGGCTGCCTCCTTGTTCACGGGGGCTTTCTTTACAATCCCACAGCCTCTTCCCCTTCTATTTAGCATTGTGCCATCTGGAAGGACCCAGAAAAAGGAGGGAAAAAGGCTCTGGTCATGACTAGTGACAGACTCTCGTAGCAGCCTCAGGAACCCCTAGTCTTGTACCAGCACCTCAGAGTTGCCAGTCTGGTTCCTATAGCATTCTTTTAGCAGCTGGTAAAGAGAAAAAATTAGACCATAAAGAAACGTGGTCCATGAACTCAAGATATCTGTGGATATCCTTAACCAAAACAGCTATTATTTTAAAACACTTTCTAACGCTTTTATAATCCAAACATTAAAATGTTCTATAGTTACTCTTGCTGTGTATTATGCATTATGACATGTGCTTACGTGTTATAATTAAGTTACTGGGGTGGGTCACCCAGCAGGGAGGTGGTTGGTTTGTGGATGCGGACAGGATGTGATTGAGAAGACTCAGATTTCACTTTCTGGTTGGGTGATTGGGCAAATGTCTTATTTTTCTGGAGCTTCTTTTTCTTTATGTGTAAAATGGTAGTAATAGGAGAGCCTTCCTGGCATTGTTTGGGAGGCCAAGTGACAGCATGATTGTCACAAGCCCTTTGTCAATTGTAGCATGCTTTAGGGGAAAAAATGGGGGTATTATTTTCCAGAGTGTTAGAGGAATTTATACAATATACTGCTCGCGTTTAACCTGGGAATGCTAATTCAGGGAACTCATCAACAACACGGCAGGAAACTTCGGCAGCAAAATCCTTTCGGAAACCCCGGATAAAGAATCCGGCAGAATGAGGGAGAAATGGCAAATCAAACCTCGCAGAGAGTCTCCTTGAAAGATTACGGGATGAAAAATTAACTTGGCACTGTTGGGGGTGGGAATGCGGACGGCTGCCCTGGATGCCCGGTCTTCAGCCTCCGGTCACTTTCCTTCCCCAAAGCCATTTTAGTCAAAGGTCATGTGTGAGTCTTGTCAAAGGCCAGCTTCCAATGGAATCATTGTGCCCCGGGACAGCGGCCCCCTGACTACATCTGCATTGGAGAAATCCCAAAAGCAAACGGCCCAGTGCAAACAAGAGCAGCCCGAGGCAGCCGTCCCGGGGCAGAGCTCACAGCAGAGGCCGCGTCCGCAGCGCCCGGGTCGGAGCAGGCGCCCAGACGCCCGCAGCAATGAGCCGCCGCGCCGAGCGGGTACGGTAGGCGCCTCCCTCTCCCCGTCCTCCATTGCTTGGGCTCCCGGGTCCCAGCTGCTGTTCTGTCAGCCGAGAAACCTTGCAAAGGGCCTCCGGATGTGCCGGAAAGCGGTCCCCGTTGGGCTGCGTTCCCGTGCACTCAGCTGCAGCGATTTCCAGGCGCACGAGATGCAGAGCGGAACTCATTTCGAGCTTTGGTTGCCAGGGAATGTTTGGGTTTGTAAATATGTATCTCGTTTCTGGAAACCCAGCCGGTAGTCCCTGCAGAGAGGGGCCGTGGACGAGTCTCCGGTCACCGCGGCTGGAACCTGTGCCAAGTGGGAGCTCCCCTGGGCGCAGCGGGTCTCGGGGTTCGGGGAGCTCGGTCCTTCGGGGCCGCGAGAGGGCTCGGCGTTTGGTGGATTACCTGTTGCACCAGGGCTTTGCGGAGAGGATAGGGATTTTTAAAGTCATCTGCTTCTGTAATGTGCTGTGGGATCCCACACTTGACTCCAAAGGCAACAGACATCTCGCAGATGGAGGGAGCCCGTTCCACATGGCCGGGTCCCCTCGGGGGCTCCACAAAGGGAAGGTGTTGCCCGGCGTGCACACAGCCGGCGGCGGCACAGCCAGCCCCTCGGCCCTTTGTACTTCACTATTTGAACAAGCTGACTTTCAAATGAATCTGGCTCGGTTTTGGAGAAGAGTTGAGGGAGCCCGGAGTCTCAGCTGAGCAGGGGTGCTTCTGATCCGGACTTGGAAATCTCGCAGGGCAAATACGGCAGGTGGGGAGGGTCGGAAGGGGCAGCCGGCGTTCAGGTGCGAGCGGTGGGTCCAAGGCTTTCGATGGCTGTCCTGCTACACACTCTGGTTTCATTTTAACAGGTTCAGCCCCGAACCGAGCCGCTTCTCACTGATAAAGGCAATGAAAACAAAAGCCTTTCTAGCGCTCAGCAGGACGCAGAGAGGGAAGCCGGTTCTGGCATTTGTTTATGAATTTTTCACCCAGCCAGGTCTGCCGGGAATAGGACGTCTTCCTCACTTCAGTCAATCGATGTTTGTTGAGTTTCTGCACTTCCTCTCTAGCTGAAAATTTTTTTCTCCTTTACCTTCCCACCAAACGTTTTTTATTTAAATAAACAAATTTATTTAATTTTTGGCTGTGTTGGGTCTTGGTTGCTGCACTCAGGATTTCTCTAGTTGCAGCGAGCCGGGGCTACTCTTCGTCGTGGTGCCCGCGATGCGGGCTTCAGTAGTTGTGGTTCGCAGGCTCTAGACCACAGGCTCAATAGTTGCTCTGCGGCATGTGGGATCTTCCCGGACCAGGGCTTGAACCGGTGTCCCCTGCTTTGGCAGGCGGATTCTTAACCACTGAGCCACCAGGGAAGTCTGCCCCACCAAACTTCTTGAACGAGTGGGTGACATTCACCATCTCAATGCCCCCACTACCCAGTAACTTGCTCATCCATAGTCAATGGCTTCTGCCCTCCCTTCTGAAGACAAACCTTGGCCAGGGCCACCAGAGAACTCTTGGGAGCTAAGCCAGAGAGTGTGTTGTGTTCAACCTCCCCCAAGTCTTCTCTGTGTCATTTTGAACTGTTGGCCATCCCCCACACCATCCCTCTCTTTCTTTCTTTCTTTTTTTTTTATTAAACTCTGTCCTGGATTCTTTGATACCACACTTCCCTGGTTTTCCTCTGACCTTCTGAGTTTCACTTAACGCCTCTAAAGTTCTTCCCTTCATCAGCATTGGTGTGCCCCTGTGTTCCTTGACTCTCTTCCCTTTCCATCCAGTAGTCTCCCTAGGAAACCTCTTCTACCCCCATGGGTTCACCCACTACATACAAATCTATAGCCTATCTAGATATTTCTCCTAAATACCAACCTTTTCTATAGAGCATCTCCACTTTAAGGTGCATCTCCATGGAGCACCTTAAAATCAACATGTTCAAATTGAATTTGTCTTCTCTCATTCTCTCCCAGGCCTGCTCCTCCTTTTCTATTCTCCAGTGCTCAAATGGCATCCCTAATTGTCCAAGCCAGACATGACAGAATCATCCTAGACAGAATCTCATTCCTCTCTTTCATTCATGACACCTAGTCCTATCTGCTCTCCCTGCTTAATGCATTTCATACACATACCTGTGTCTCCAGCTCAGCTTCCACTGTTTTAGTGTAAGTCAGTACCACCCCAAATTTGATTCTGGTCAAAACTTTCTGTTAGTCTCATTTGAGGCCACTACTACCCATCCCCATGCCCCCTGTCTTGTCACCATATTGTATCAAATGGTCTTTCTAAAATGCAATATGATCATGCAGATCTTTTTTGAAAAGTCTACCGTGGATTTCTATTTTTTTCCTTTTGAGAATAATGTTGATGTACACAGGTTCTCTGGGACTTGCCTTTCTCTTCCCTTTTATCTCTCATCAGTCACTCCCTCTACACATGTTATGCACATTTTAATACACACTTTATGCATGTTGTATGCAAATTTATGCATATCAAACTATTTACTAAACAAGACTTTCCTCTTTGTCCTTCTCTTAGGTCTAACTTCTATTTTTCCCTAAGGACTCAGCTGAGAGCCACTTTCTCTTGGAGACCGCCCCTCATCCTTCAGAATGGGTGGGTGGCTCTCCCCTTTTTTCCCAGAGCTTCCTCTGTTCCTTCTATCAGAGCATTTACCATTCTTTTTTGCAAGTATCTATTTACTTGTCTGTCCTCCACTGGTCTGTAGACTCCTCGAGGGCTGGCATCAGCTCTGTTTGTCTGAGTATACTTCGAGCCTATAGCCTGGACCCAATGAGGATGCTCAGTAAATTTGTGGGAACTCTTGTACAATTCTTGTCAATGACTATGATCTCCAGGCATTGAATAAGATGAAAGAGATACAATGTATAATACAACATGGTAAAGAATGAAGAATGAAAGTCAACCCTGATTATCAGGAAAAGGTGTAGTCTTCCAATTATTTAACAGAAGAAGGGTGTAGACTTTCTGGGTACTTAAGATAATCCCCCAACTCTCCAGATCTACCAGTTCCCTCTCCCATCCACATCTCAGTGGCTTTCTCCTACTGCTGTCCACATCTATCCCAACCTTGCCCAAGGCTGGGAAAAGCTGCACAAAAAGCTGTTTGCAATTTTGCTTTGGCTTTGTGAAAGCGAGGGAACCGTTTTCAGTATAGTACCTGGCCCAGGAAGAGGTTGAAGACCAAGCTAGGTGGACTTGTAAGAGAGCCTTTTGATAAGCTGATATCAAAGATACAAGCTGGCATCTTTTGATACCAGAAGGAAGGCTTAGAAGGGACCAACAGGTGAGCTCTCTAAGAGCTGCTAGAGAGTGATGGAGGCTACAGATGAAAACATTCAGTTTGATTTTCTAAAGAAATTTGTGCATTTGAAACCCTAGACAGAGGTGAATGATGATGAAGAGAGTTACTTAAACTGCAGATTATTCTTGTTTGGAGCCACAGTCCTCGTGGGACTCAAATGTACATTACTCTCCTCAGAAAAAATGCACAATATACAAACATGGTACTTTCCGTAAACTTTCAGGAGGTTCGTACAAGCCTACTCTTGGAACCCCTTGTGTTGTCATGAACCTCGGGTTAGGAATCTTGAATCAAAGAATTCATTCAGGGCTTCCCTGGTGGCCTAGTGGTTGAGAATCTGCCTGCTAATGCAGGGGACACGGGTTCGAGCCCTGGTCTGGGAAGATCCCACATGCCACGGAGCAACTAAGCCCGTGCGCCACAACTACTGAGCCTGCGCATCTGGAGCCTGTGCTCCGCGACAGGAGAGGCCGCGATAGTGAGAGGCCTCCACACCGCGATGAAGAGTGGCCCCCGCTCGCCACAACTAGAGAAAGCCCTCGTACAGAAACGAAGACCCAACACAGCAAAAATAAATAAATTAATTAATAAACTCCTACCCCCAACATCTTAAAAAAAAAAAAAAGAATTCATTCATTCAACAGATATTTGGGAGAGTAGGTGGTGATTAATAGGAACCCACGTAAGTCCAATAATGCATATTCTCTCTTTTAGAGGATCTCAGTGTAATGTGTGGTATTGAGTTTGGAGTCACAGGACTTGGGCTCATGTCCCTGCTTTGGCACTTGCTCGTTGTGTGACTTTCTCTCTGAATGATAGTTTTAGCGTCTATTAAAAAGGATAGTAGGTGTTGGAAATGGTGACTAAAATAAAGTTTGTGAAAATACCTGGAACATGGTTATACTCACTTAACATTAATCAATTCAAAAACCTTGGTTTTAGGAAGGGCCCAGATCCTGTGATATTCTTCTGGATTAGAAACATGCACGTGGGCCGGATTAATGACTGGATGCGTTTACTAAAGAATAGCTGATTGACAGATGGACGTCTTTAGGATGGTATGCTACTGGGGTCCATCTTCATTCCTGTTTTATTCAATATTCTTAACATCCATGAAGGAATAGCACACTGATCACATTTGCTCAGAGAAAAGGCATAAGGATTAGGAGTCCAGAAGTTATCAATTAGTTGTAGCATACTTTGACTTTTTATTTTTAGAAGCAGTGTGCAAAAATAGATATAAAATATATCATGCATGGCTGCCAAAAATCAATTGCAAATTATTGGGTGTGTGTGACAGAGAGAGAGAGAGAGAGAGAGAGAGAGAGAGAGAAAAGAGGGAAAGTTAAAGACAAGTGGTGGCTTCATGTAGTTAAGGTTTAGGGATTTAAACTGACAATAAATCAACCATGAGATGTTTCTTCTAAAATAATGTTAGGGGGCTTCTCTGGTGGCGCAGTGGTTGAGAATCCGCCTGCTAATGCAGGGGACACGGGTTTGAGCCCTGGTCCGGGAAGATCCCACATGCCGCGGAGCAACTAGGCCCGTGAGCCACAACTACTGAGCCTGCACGTCTGGAGCCTGTGCTCCACAACAAGAGAGGCCGCGATAGTGAGAGGCCCGCACACAGTGATGAAGAGTGGCCCCCGCTTGCCACAACTAGAGAAAGCCCTCGCACAGAAAT